TAATGATCTCCAGCCTTGTGCTCATCAACATTCGAGATAACGAGAAGATTATTGAAATGATCTCAACGGGTCCTTTTATGGCAGCAATGAAATGCAGTGGAAATGGGTTTTTTCATGGCAAAGAAGGACTTTGCAGTCCATCTGATCACTCTTCATAACATTCTGGAGTATCTGCAAATTGCTATAATCAAAACTGAAGCAGCAAACTTTGGAAAAACCAATATATGTGTCAATCTCAAAACATTTGGCCACGACTGTACACCACTATGGATTCACAGTGGTTTATGCTTTTTGTAACTGGACACAATGATATCTCTAAAGTTTAAATGATTTGGTGTTGTACTGTGATGATCAAATGTTTGCTTCGTTTTTTTGAGCAGCGCAATTTTGATTGATGGTTCAGTGGGTGGCCAGGAGAGTTGTATTCATTGAGATAAAGCTTTTCATGAATTAATACTTACCAATAAATAATTAGTTGATGCATTTTACAATGAAGACAGCATTTTTTATCCAAGTTTCTGAATGAAGAGTTACATCAAGGATGAGCCAGTTATTTAGGAGCTTCTTAATGTAATGCAGTAACATCCCAGTTTAATCCAGGGACAGGTTTTATTAACACCCTAACAGATGTTTGAGAGATATCTTTATCATTCTATGTATAAATGCGCCCCTAAATCTTTGCTAATCATTTACGTAGTTTAGTTATTTTACTAATGTCTAAATAAAGAGAATTATAGTAAATTAAGTCATTAATGCATTTTTTACAGTACAAATAATTATTAATCCATACATGCTTTATTTTGATGAGCTCAACTCCTGGTCCTCCACAGCATTTACTTAAGCATAACTGGCATCTAGAAAGAAAAAAGAGAACAAACTCTTATCTCATATTAATTTGTTTCTCCTCACATTGTCCCACAGATGCTCCAAAGCTTCCCCACACACAGAGCAGTTCAGTGACTCTTTAGCAATACTAACAAAGCAGCTAATTATACCAGGTACAAGGAGAATGAAGACTTCAGCAGAAGCATCATGAGGAAACTTCACTGACTTCACACTTGACATAGTGGGAGTTATTATTGCAAAGCCCACAAC